AATGGAATAAAGGTCAAACCCAAGCAAGGATTCAGTTTAGGCATGGTCTAAAGAAGGGCTAAAAGATAAATGACAAGTCCTGAGATCTGGCAAAGCACACAGAGGATAGAAAAGCAGTGGGATTTAGACACCAGAGGCAGAACAGTCACCCACAGGTGAGCTATTCAGTACAGAATGACTGTAAGCACATTCAGAAAATTCTATCATAAGACAACCCCCTTTTTCACCCTTCATTTGAGAGGCAAAGTCTGGCTCTGGGGTCCCCAGAATAAACTGTGAAGCTGAGAACTATGCTGTAGAATTGAGGGTCTTGCAGAAGACCCTACTCCTAGTGCCTTTGCCTGTAAAATGGGGGAGAGGAAGGTACCTGATGGTTGGTGAAACAAGTTATACAAGCTAGCATTGTGTTTTTCAATGACAATTATCCCTTGGTTCAGCAGCCTATTGATGATAGGGCAAGCCAGGGACCACCACCTTTATTACACCAGTTAACAGTGATAATCCCTGATGTAACTTCTCCTTTGAAGATAATTATTTTAACAGTCAGATGACATTACCATTATCAACACTCAACCAAATATCTCAGCATGAAGAAGAGAGTCCCAACTCCAGTGGAAATTTAAAAATACAAAACCTCTGACAAGGGGGTTCATGAGGGCCATCCTCCTGATGACATTTCTTCCCGAATTTCAGAGGCCCCACTGCTCTTCTTGGCTGATCACGGTTACTGATTATTCTAGCTTTCTGTTGCTAAGCAACAACTTATCAAACTAGTGACTTAAAAACAACCATTTGCTTTTGTTCATAACTTTGTTTGAGGAATTTAAGAAAAGCTTATAAAGGTAGTTCTTGCTTGGGGTTTCTCATGTGGTTGCAGTCACATGCCAGTTGGAGCTGTAGTTCTCTGGTGGCTCAACTGGACTGGACATCCAAGATGGCACACACACACGCTGGCATTGACACTGCTACTGGCCAGGAGCTCAGCTGGGGATGTTGGCTAGAGCACCTACATCTGGCCTTTCCAGGATGGTAGTCTCAGGATGTTCAGACTTCTAATATGGCAACTGGCTTCTTCCAGATTGTCCCAAGAAAGTCAAGCAGGAGCTGCAAGGCCTTCTATGTCCTAGTTTTAGAAGTCACTTCCACCATACACTGTTAGTTGACACAATCACAAGCAACCAGATTCAAGGGAAGGGGCATAGATATCACCTCTTGATAAGAGGAGTGTCAAAGATTTTGAAGGCTATGTTTTAAAACTTCTTATTATATGTCAACGTGTGCTCTCCCAAAAGATGCCGAAATCCTAACCTGCAGTATTTGTGAATATACCTTATTTGGAAATATAATTTTTGCAGATGATCAAGTTAAAATGAAGTCATTGGGAGGAGCCCCAAGCCAATATGATTGCATCCTTATGGAGAAATTTGTACACAGAAACAGACATGTCCTGAGGGAGAACATCATATGAAGATGAAGGTAGTGATCAGGCGATGCACCTACAAACCAAGGGATATCAAAGATTGACAAGAAACTACCAAGTGCTAGGAGACAGGCAGGAAACAGATTCTTCTCACAGCCTTCAGAAGGAACCAACCCTGCTAACACCTTGACTTCAGACTTTTGGCCTCCAGGATTGTGAGACAATGCATTTCCACCATTTAAATTCAGGGTACTTTGTTATGGTAGCCCTGGAAAACTAATACATTCTCATACTGGCTAAAAGAACCCTGATTTTGTCTAAGAGGGCAAGAAGCCCAGGTGAAAACATTTATTTTCCCAAACTCCCTTGCGACTTAGAGATAGCCAAGGGAGTTTGGAAAAGCCTTTCTGGAAAAGCCTTGCTTATACAATGAAAGTTCAACTTTTTCCTGTCTCAATTTTTCCTTCTTACTGTCTGTAATGTAGACATGTGGTATAAAAACAGATCAGCCATCTTGCAACTGCTTGTGAGGACAGAAGCAGATCAGGAAGACGGAAGGAACCTGAGCCTCCGAGAGCAGCCCTCGCAGCTTCACAAACAATTCTCCATTGATTTTGCATCTCTCATGTTCCAGGTACTATTCTGGGCCACTGACTCCCCATCCTCCTCTAGTGATCTGTTTTTAACTTCTTAGGTACATCATTTCAACTTACCGAGATAACTGCATGAATAGAAGTGTAGATATGATGTTATGAACTCCCACAGGGAAGCCTTCTACCCAGCCTGTCAGAAGAGCTTCCTGGAGCTCCCCACAGGCAGAAATATAAGAGATGTGCAGCCTTAAAAGTCTATCAGCCTCTAGGGAATGTCCTCCTCTCCCCCAACAAGAAACACACCTTCCTGGTATATCAGATGGTCAGACCAGGGCTGTCAGAAGCCCTGGAGTGCTAAGCACAGCACAACTTGGGCTGCCTGCAGTTCTCATGGCAGCCGCTACCTCAGGATGCCTAGCAACCAGCCTGTCCTGGGAGACACCCCAGGCTGCCACAGAGTAGCCAAGCTGCCACTGTTCTCAAGAGAGCTAATCAACAGAAACCTGAAAGAAGCCATGCCATGGATAAAACCGAATCGGCCCAGAACCTGGCGGCTTGCTAACTTCCCTTCTGCAGGATGCCCTGCAGTCAGCCCATTTCTCATAATCAATCACCAAAATCCAGAGTCAGAAGTGGCAGCTGCAGCAGCAATGTGACTTCCAGGGTTTTCTGCAGAAAACTAGGACACTAGGTTTCTTTCATGCCATAGGTAACCAAGGGTATGGCTTTCCTCATGCCATAGGTAACCAAGCCAGATTTTCAGTGTGGACCTAAGGAACATGAGAGAGGAGGTTACTTGAAAGAGTTCACCACTCTCCAGAACTTCTACCAGTCCAAATACATCAACACCCTTCATAGTACTAGCCAATGTGCATGCCTCCTTTCAGAAGCAATAGCTTACCCGAACCTGTGGGAAAACTCTGCTTGTGACTACACTTCCATAATCTCACCTCCCTCCGGGAATAAGTATAAGTGAGGTCCTCTGAACAGCAGAAGGATGACTATGGGTTTCCATAGTCCTTTGGCCAACAATTGTAAAGATAGAAAAGGTCAGAGTGGAGCCAAATGTCAGCCACACAAACCTGTCTTGCAATCTCTAGCTGTATGGCCTTGCACAAGTTACTGAAACTCTCTGAGCCACAATTTGTTCAACTATAAATTGAGATAATACCACTATAGTCATTGAGAGGATTAAACAAGAACATTTATTTACAGTGTTGTGATGAGAAAAACTTGGGACTGTAACACCCGCTCCTGCCTCCTGAACTGGGAAGGTGCTGAGAGACCAAAGAAGGACTCAGACAAGTCCAGCTTGACTTTATTAAGACTTAGATATGGGACACTCCTGGGTGGCAGCAGGACAGCTGTAGAGATCTATATCACTTTCTGTCTCTAAGCTGCTTTTAAGCTGATTTTCTGGCTCTTTTTTACTGTGTGTGTGTGTGTGTGTGTGTGTGTGTGTGTGTGTGTGTGTGTGATGGGACTATTTTCTTTGGTAGGTTCTTAGATACTCTCTGGGATGTGTGGGTTCTTGGGAACACCTGTCCCTCGGCTGGGTACTATGGCCCTGGCTCCTCACCTAACCTTTAGGGCCCAAGCAGTGAGCATACACCCTTAAGTAATCTGGTGGGGGACACACCACAATACAAGTGTCTAGCATGCTACCTGGCATGTAGCAGTAGGAATTAAAAAAAAGAGTGGTCTTCTTCCCTAGTTCCCTTGTCAAAGCTGTGATCTCTGAAGTTTTCTGGAGAAAGAAGCAATGAGGGATTGATTGGAGGCACCCTTCTGCGTCCCTTGCAGAATAAAGTTCATGTTGTTTCCTATATATGTCCCCCACAGCATGTGCCACGGTGCTTACCTGTGGTACACATCTGGAGATACAGTAACGAAGGAGTAAAGACAAGCAAGGGTAGAGCAAAGATGGAGGATGAGAAAGACAGTCTCATCCAAATGGCATTTTCTGTTAAAAAAAAAAACACTTCTGAAGCTGGGATAAAACCAGTGGTGCAGTGAGCTAGTGATAAAATTCAGCTCTCCCTAGCATGCAGAATACAGCCTAATATTTTCCCCACAGGCAGAGTGAAAGAAAACCACAGCATCCCCTAGACTTTGGAAGGATAGTGGGCAGAGCACAGCAGCAGGCACACTGGAAAGGGAGCCTCAAGCCCTCAAGACATTCACATGCAGCCGAGCTCTCCCTTTGCTAGCCTTCTCTGCTTATCCTTATATATGGTTCCCTTTTCCTTGTCATTTTCACCACCACCAACTCAGCCCTCGCCATCTCTCCTCCCCAGCCCCAAGCACCTCTGTCCAAGCTGCTCTGCCAGGCCTCCCCATGCCTCTCAGATTCATTGTCCTTATGGCATCTGATCATGGCAAACCACTCATATTTTACAAGATTTTTAAAAGTAATACTCATAATGCTTAATCAACATAAGAAAATTTGACAACTAAAAATGAGCTCCCTCCCAAATTTTAATAGAACCCCTTCCCCCAGAGATGAGGAAATCAAGGCAGGGAGAGACTCAGTCACTTTTGTAGGAATACTCATCTATAAAGCAATAGATTCAGGATTCAATGCCAAGCAGCCTCTTCCAAAGATGTGTTTCTAACCACTGTGTATACTACCTCTGAGATAAAAACAAAATTGAAAAGGAGGTTTGGGGTCAAGTTGTAGATCATGGATCAAACGCCATCCTCAGAAATTGTTATCTTGTTCTATTGGTATAAAAAGTAATTGTAGGCTCAGGGGAAGAGTGTGGTAAAGCCAGCACTGTCTTACAGGAGATGGGGGCATCACCTTTCTGGAGGGTAATATGGTAAGTAGCATGAATGCAAACGCCTACAAGGAGCTTTTTGATGTATTAATCTCAGTTTTAAACATTTATATTCAGAAAATAATTGGAGAAATTTTTAAGAATATATGCATGTATATGAGTGCTCATGGCAATAGCATTTCAAATAGCAAGAAAAAAAGAGGATCTGTGCTGCTTCAGCAGCACATATACTAAAATTGGAACAATACGGAGATTAGTGTGGCCCCTGCATAAGGATGACATGCAAATTCGTGAAGTGTTCCATATTTTTACACACCTGGCAAACACAAACAATAGGGAAAGGATTCCCTATTTAATTAATGGTGGTGGGAAAACTGGCTAGCCATATGCAGAAAACTGAAACTGGACCTCTTCCTTACACCTTATACAAAAAATAACATAAGATGGATTAAGGACTTAAATATAAAACCTAAAACCATAAATACCCTAGAAAAAAACCTAGGCAATACCATTCAGGATATAGGCATGGGCAATGACTTCATGACTAAAACACCAAAAGCAATGGCAACAGAAGCCAGAATTGACAAGTGGGATCTAATTAAACTAAAGAGCTTCTGCACAGCGAAAGAAACTATCATCAGAGTGAACAGGCAACCTACAGAATGGGAGAAAATGTTTGCAATCTATCCATCTGACAAAGGGCTAATATCCAGAATCTACTAGGAACTTAAACAAATTATAAGAAAATAAAAACACCAAAAAGTGGGCAAAGGATATGAACAGACACTTCTCAAAAGAAGACATTTATTTATGTGGCCAAAAAACATATGAAAAAAAAGCTCATCATCAATGGTCATTAGATGAATGCAAATCAAAACCACAATGAGATGCCATCTCACATCAGTTAGAATGGCAATTATTAAAAAATCAGGAAACAACAGATGCTGAAGAGGATGTGGAGAAATAGGAATGCTTATACACTATTGGTGGGAGTGTAAATTAGTTCAACCATTGGGGAAGACAGGGTGGCAATTCCTCAAGGATCTAGAACCAGAAATACCATTTGACCCAGCAATTCCATTACTCGGTATATACCCAAAGGATTATAAATCATTCTACTATAAAGACACATGCACACGTATGTTTGTTGCAGCACTATTCACAATAGCAAAGACTTAGAACCAACCTAAATGCCCATCAATGATAGAGTGGATAAAGAAAATGAGGCACATATACTCCATGGAATACTATGCAGCCATAAAAAAGGATGAGTTCATGTCCTTTGCAGGAACATGGATGAAGCGGGAAACCATCATTCTCAGCAAACTAATACAGGAACAGAAAACCAAACACTGCATGTTCTCACTCATAAGTGGGAGTTGAACAATGAGAACACATGGACACAGGGAGGGGAACATCACACACTGGGACCTGTTGAGGGGTGGCGGACTAGGGGAGGGATAGCATTAGGAGAAATATCTAATGTAGATGATGAGTTGATGGGTGTGGCAAACCACCATGGCACGTGTATACCTATGTAACAAACCTGCACGTTTTGCACATGTATCGCAGAACTTTAAGTATAATAAAAATTTTAAAAAGAAAGAAAAAAAGAGAATCTAATGAATATGTCCACAGTCGTCTGCCCATTCCATGCATTTCCACACCTTGATATTACCACCTTATTTGTGCTCAGCCTGTAATACTCTTGTGTCACTTCTCTATTAAGCAAATTCCCACTCAGCCTTCATGGCCGGAGGCAAACCCCTCCACCTCCGTGTACACCTTCCCGGATCTCCTGAGTTGAAATTGATTACTCCTCCCCCTTGTGTCTCCAGACTGCTTTACCAGCACAGCAAGTATATCTCTTTCATTTTCCTTTATTTTGAGTTTTATCAGTATCTGGCTTTCACCCTAGGCAGTTTCTGTCCTCATACAGCCCTCTATGTCTAACACCCCCACTCCCTGCCTCATGCTGCCTGAAACATAGTGGGTACCCACTGACACCAAATTGAATTGTTTGTGCTTTTACTTATACAGTGCACAATAATTTAGAAAGCACATTCCAATATTAACCTTTGATTTTTACTACATTAAAAAGCGCAGAAGCAAATATTTTGCTCTCATTTTAGAGGCAAGAAAACTGGGGCTAATAATGGACTTTTCCAAAGGCCACACAGATAGTGGGGATAGATGCAGGTATAATTTTGGCTTCCTGACTTTAATGCAGTGATCTCTCCATGACACTAAGTGGGTAACAGGCCCTGGGGCACCTTATAGCAGGCTTCCCATCCACCTTCACTGTGAGGAGACCTTATGATGCCAAGGGAGTAGGAAGAGATGATCTAAGAAGTCAGACCTCTTGAGATGAAGTAATTTATCCATCCCCCCCCCATCCTAACTATCACTGCTCCTCACACAACCCTTCAAGGCTGATTGAGAACCTAAGTTCATCCCCAATCCATACACCTAGCCTCGATTTTTGAACTAGTTCAGAGTGGCCTAACTCGTTGCTAGGGTTCTTAGAAGCCCCCCATTTTCCATGTCCACCAAGCAACCCCCTTATCACCAATATAAGCTTGCTTTCTCCAATACCCTCACCTAACTTTGACCCAAGCCTTAACCTGGACTTTATTCTTCAGCATGGCCTGAGACACCAGGAAAGCAAAACCACTTTCCTCCAGGCTAGGAAAACCTCACCCTATACCAACTCATGGCCTCTCAGTTCAGGTCCTCAAAGTGCTCCTATGCCCATGTGCCTTGAAAGACTACTCCAATTGCCCTCTAAAAAAAAACCCAGCACATTGTCTGAGAACCTTTCCAATCAGTCAGATATATGAGAAGACTTTTCATCCTGTATGCAAAAGGATTTAAGAGATTCAATTTTCATAATTTCTCTCCTGAAATCTGCCCTAGGACACACTTGTGATAGATGGGCAGCCACACCTTTCTTACTTCCCTTTTCACAATTTCTCTCTCCAACTCTACTGAAAAAAAGGACCACCTGTCACCTAACATAATCTTCCACTGGTGTACTGCCCTGGGCAGTAAAAATGTTTTAGGTATCAAACAGAGAGATAATTTCACATTTGGGCTAGTGTTGACAATGCAAATAAATCTAATCACTCTATCCAATTCTTTGTTTTCACCAAAATTGCTGAGAGACCTATGAGTGTCATCAGCTGATAATTAAAATTAATTTTGGGGCTGGGTATGGTGGGTTACACTTGTAATCCCAGCACCTTGAGAGTCCAAATCAGGAAGATCACTTGAGCCCAGGAATTTGAGGCCAGTGTAGGCAACATAGTGAGACCCTGTTGCTACAAAAAAAAAAATTTTTTTTTAAATTAACCAGGCATGGTGGTGCATGCCTGTAGTCTCAGTTACTTGGGAGGCTGAGGTGGGAGAACTGCTTGAGCCTAGGAGGTCAAGGCTGCAGTGAGCCAAGATTGCACCAATTCTCTCTAGGCTGAGTGACAGAGCAAGACACTGCCTCCAAAGAAATTCATAATAGTTTACTATAGAATCTTTGATATATGATGCAGTTGGAGTTTAATGACCCAAATGATGTTACCATAATAAAATTCTTTCTACTCCAATCTTCATATTTATGTGAATAAGCACTTAAACCTGTAAGTATGAAAAATGGGAATACAGTGTGATGCTGAATTCTTTCTAGCAATAAGTGACATTCATCCACAGATATAGCTTATAAAGAGATGCATTTCCAAAAAATTTTTACTTTTATATTTAATAATTATTTCATATATCAAAATTCCATATATATTTGTGTTGTTTGATATATAATAATGATAACCGATAATACAGTAAAGATAATTCAATTGGGTGCTAATAATATAGTAATGGTAACTTCATCAAGAAGAGATTTTTCTTAACATTTAGAGTCTTATTGTCCCTAATTTATTTTCTGAGGCATGAAAATCTCCCCTGAAATCTAGGCATGCTTATCCAGTTGCTTATGTGATACTGCTGCTGGGATGTCTAATAGATATCTCAAACTTGACATGTCCAGAATCATATTTCTGATATGCCTCCTCAAACCAGCTCTTCCTACTCGCTTCCCCAGCTCAGTTAAGGCATTCTCATTCTTTTAGCTGCTCAGATTGAAAACCTTAGAGTTGTCCTTGACTCCAGAGGCTGCAATGAGAATGTGTCTCACAGGCCTCCTACACAGGAAGTGAAATTGACCTAAAGCCCCAGATGCTGTGCTTGAAATTCATCACTGCATTCACACTGAGGTCATCTCTTCTAGGGGCTGCTCCCTACCAATAGTTGATTGTGGCAGGGACACTAAGATCTATTCCTGGGAAACACAGGACTCCTTTGTTGGCCAACTGTGACTAAAGAATTCTCCAAAGGCTTTGCAAAACCTTTCTTAAACTGCATGGTGGTTTTGGACTTTTCCACCCAACTTTTTCTTCCTCTCCACCTCATCAAGGGTAAGACTTCCATCATGGCCTGATGACTCTCCCAGATTTCCCTGCTTCCTTCCCTGTTTCCTTTTCACACAGGAAATAACAATAATAAAATGCTTACATGCTTAATTGCATCTGGGCATTCGCTTCACAGAAGACACAGATTAACACAACTCCTCTCTTTCTCTCTCATAGCTCATACCCAATCAGCAAACCCCATCATCACTCTCAAAAATAGTTTATCCTTGATCCTTGAATAGCATGGGTTGGAACTGCATGGGTCCACTTATACACAAATTTTCTTCTGCCTCTGCCACCCCTTCAGACAGCAAGGTGAACCCCTCTTCTTCCTCCTCCTCCTCAACCCACTCAACATGAAGACAACAAGGATGAAGATCTTTAAGATAATCCACTTACACTTAATAAATAGTAAATATATTTTATCTTTCTTATGATTTTCTCAATGACATTTTCTTTTATCTAGCTTACTTCATTGTAAGAATACAGTATATAATATATATAACATACAAACTATGTATTAATTGACTATATCATCTGTAAGGTTTCTGCTCAACAGTAGGTTATTAGTAGTTAAATTTAGGGGGAGTCAAAAGTTATATGATTTTTGACTGTGTGGTGGGGCTCAGTGCCCCTAACCTCTACATTATTCAACGGTCAACTGTATAACCAAGATCCAACCACTTCTCACTATCATCAATCTGGTTCAAGCCATCATCATTTCTCACCTGGATTATGGAAACAGCCTTCTGTATCAGTCAGTGTGGTACATTAAAGATGGCCATAAATTCACTGTGCTCCTCTCTATTCCCTTGAATCTGGGCTTGGCCTCTCAGTGCTTTTGCCAACTGCATAT